AGCCAGGAAATTAAAAGGCGCATTGCCATGGGAAAGTCTGCTGTTAGGGACCTCTCCAAAGTACTGAAGAGCAATGGTGTCTCTCTGGAGACTAAGGTACGTCTGATATAGGCCATGTCTTAGCAGTCACTTGTTTTGCATCAGAGAGTTGGACAATGACCAAGGAGGATAGAAGGAGAACAAACAGATTTGTCCTGGAAAGGGTTAACCCGGATGGCTCCTTGGAGGCAAGGATTCTGAGGCTCCGTCTAACATACTTTGGCCATGTTGTAAGGAGAGACCGGTCCTTGGAGAAGACGTCATACTTGGGAGGGTAGAGGGGCAGTGCAGGAGGGGTAGGCCCTCTGTGAGGTGGATTGATTCAGTAGCTGGGATAATCCAGATCGGTGTGTCAGAGACAGTGAGATTGGCACAGGACAGAGCAGAGTTTAGGGCTGTTGTACATAGGGTGGCTATGAGTCGCAGGCGACTCGACGGCACTTAACAACAACAACAACATTATTCATTTGAATACATTTGATTTGTTCTGTGTACAGTCTTACCGTTTTACGTTTATCTATACTTTTCTTCCCTTTTCTGGAGCTCTAGAGGCCTATTTTTGTTTAAGCAAACTTAACAAAACAAGCTCTAAAATGAAAATATGCATTATGAAACTTAATTTTTTTAATAGTTGAAATATTACATATAAAAACTTTCTACTGTAACTGTTTTGGACAGGTGTATCCTGATTGTTTGGCACAATGTATCTATGCAACATTTCAGGAAGCATTTCCAGAATCCAGTGACCTCTTTAATGATGAATTTAAAGAGGATCTAGGCAATAATATTTATCTTTGGTTGTCAGGTATGGTTTTCTTTTTCCAAATAAAATTTTTATTCTACACAGATTTACTTACAAAGTTCATATGCATTTTATCACTTAAGTATTAGCCATTATTTTAGTATCTGAAACTTTTGGATTGTGCTATTCTTCAGTAAAAAAAAATAAAAAGGTAAATTTTGCCTAGAGATAGTGAAACCAGGATGCTTGATAACATCAAGGATGGTAAAATTTTATTTCATATATTTTAACATGTCCTTACAAAAATACATCATTCTGAAAAAAGTAGGATGGGTAAAAGAAAGGGAAAATATCCAGTATGAAAAACAATGTATATGAACTTTATTAATTTGTAAATAAACCAGTATTTATATTAAAAAAAGTAGAAGCTCAGTGAAAAAGACAGAGACCCTCAACGAGATGAATAGTCGCAGTGGCTGCAGCACATGGGCTTGAGTGTGGCAGGATCGAGGGGGTGGCACAGGACGGGCAAGGTTTCCGTCTGTGGATCATAGGATCACTATGAGTCATACTAAGACCAACAACCCCTAGCAACAGTAACAATAATAGCTATTAACAATAGTAAAGAGTAACTATTTTGTTTTCAGCTGAAAAAGTTGTTAGCGTATTGTTTCATAAAGTCTGCCAATATATAGGCTTTACAACAACAATAACTGTTCTTTATTTCTGGAATTTTGTTAAACCTAAATAAAGATACGACATTATAACTCTCCTAAAACTCTAGAGGCTTAATGATTTTTATAGGTGCTACAATTATTGTAGAAAACTGGATCACCATGCAAAAAATGTCTTAAAATGTGTATTTAACATTTACTTATGGAAATCAGTATTGGGTGAAACTTTGGGTTTAGTGTTTTGTTGTGTTTTTTTTTTTTTTAATTATTGTGGTTTTGGAGATTAGAGTTGTAGGCTTGAAAGACTGAAAATAAATACTATAGTAGTTAGGTAGGATATAGGCATTTGTTACTGTTGTTTTTGTGATGTGCTGTTGCCAATCCCAACCTCAATAAAGCTCCCTCTAGAGTAGAGTAGAATTACCTAGCAGGGATTTCTTGACTGTAGTCTTTGCAGATCACCAGGTCTTTAGAGCTGTCTGGTGGCATAATCTGTAGCAATGTGGCTGCTAACCCAAAGTTGTGTATCACTTTGGATTTACATCTAGCAGTGGTTTTTGGAAGGAAGATTGGCAATCCCTTCCCATTTCTATTTATAACCTTGGAAACCTGATGGAGGAGTGCTGTGAATCGAAACTGGCTGAATGACAGTGATTTGAATTGGTTGCAATCTCCCATGGAATCACTCAATAGGTGTGAACCAACAGATTTTTAGTTAGTAACTTAACTAATATGTCACCAGGGCTCCTTAGAGATTATGACACTTTTAAGTTAAAGGTTAAAGAAATGACATAATTTCATATTCCTGGAATGCTAACCCTGGTAATTTTTTTTTAATTGCTGTATTACTATGGAGTAGCTATGTATGCCTTTGAGTTGTGTTGGCGAAGAGTCCTGAATATCCCATTGACTGCCCTCAAAGCAAACAAGTCTATCTCGGAGGAAATACAACCAGCATGCTTTATAGAGGCAAATATGGTGAAACTTAATCTCACATACTTCGTTGTCAGGAGAGGTCAGTCACTGGAAAAGACATCATGTGGGGAAAGGTAGAGAGTCAGCAAAAAGAAGGTGATGGATTGACACAGTGACTGTAATAATGGGTGTAAGCATGGCAGAGGTAACGAGGATAGGTTAAGGTAGGGTAGGGTAGGGTAGGGCACACTTCTGAGCTATTGTTCAGAGGTTCACTATGAATCACAGCTTGAAGCATCTCACATCAATCAGAAGCTATTTTGTAGTTCTTCCTTTACAATTGCTCTTTGAGCAAAGGAAATTTGTTTCTTTAATCATTGTGTCTTTTCAAATCTAAGTACTAGCCTCGTCCACTGCTAACTGAAAGGCAGTCAGTTTGAATCTACTAGCTGCACAGGAGGCAGATGGACAATCTCCTCATCTCAATAAACTCACTGAAGGGTCTGCTGTGAGTTGACTGACTTAATAACATTGAGATTCTTGAAATTACTCATGGAATTAATAACAAAGTAATTTCTCAGAAAGTTTTTATATTTTGAGGAAGTTCTTGTAGAACAAAGACTAAAAAACAGCTGTACCTTTATGCATGTAAACATTCGTTTATGCATGAACAAATACAGAAATCTAAGTAAAAACCAAAAAGTGAATAAGCCCAGCATCCATACAAAAATACCAAAGAAAAAGAGGTGATGAAACCAGAGAAATTTACCAAAGAAAGAATAATTAATTTTCTAGATGATAGGAGGTTTAAGCCCAACTTCATGCTTTCAAGGATGGAGATTCAGTAGTCCCAGCACTATTTATTGAAGATATAATTCTTTCCATATTGCATAGTCTTAGCACCTTTGTCAAAGGTTAACTAACTGTAGATCTATTTTTGTAGGTTAATTTCTGGACTGTTGATTCTTCTCTCTTTGTCTATTTGTCTTATCACTATGCCAGAACTAGACAGTTTTGATTACTATAGCTTTATTTTATGTTTTGAACTTGAGGATATGAGTCATACAAATTTGTCCTTTTTCAAGAATGTTTTGGCTATTTCGTGCCCTTTGCTATCCTAAATGATTTTAGATAGATTTTGTCAATTTGTACAAAGAAGCCAGCTGCAAGAAAATGCCGTATCGTACGTGAAAAAGACCATCATGGAATTGTCAAATAGACTTCAGCCAGTAAAATAATTAAGTCACTAATTTTAAGAGGTCACTAGAAATTAACTTATTCACCAATTTTAAGAGGTCACTAGAAATTAATTATCCAAATTAAAACACAATGCGAGGAATTTAAAATTCAGAAGACATCAGTCTCATGTATATAATTGAACACACAAGTAGATGACAGAGATGGGATTGTATGATTTGATGGGTAAGGTGAGGGAAATTGGAAGAAGCTGGTCTGGAAAACAATGTATTCTAATTTTGTAAATAAACTAGAATAAGAATAAAAACAATAAAATAACTAAAAAAACCCTCAGTACGATCAAATCAGAACAACTCAGAGCTGACCCTTTAGTGGGTTTTCTCAGGTTGATTACTTGTTTCCCAAGGAGTTGCAGGTGGTTTTTAACTGGCTAAAGAGGCTACTATTTGAGTTAGTAGCTTGGCTTCCTATAAACTATGTCAGCAGAGGTAGAAAGCAGAAGAAATATTTGAAAACATAATTATTGAGATTGTTCTAAAATGGAAAAAGAACTGTATTTTCAAATAATTGTCATGGAACAGCTACAAACAAGCTTTGATCTATAGACTTATTCTACATAAAAATTAACTGAAGTAGATTATAAATTTAACAAAAGTTTAGAGAGATACACTGTGGATAAAATTCTGCAACCACTGCAGAAAGAAATTTGATAGTCCTTAAAAAGTTGAATATATGCTGAGTGAAATATCTCAGTCTTAAAAGGACAAAAATACTGAATAATATCACTATTATAAAATAGGACTGACTTGGGCAGGTTGAGGAAAACTAGGAAAAGAAGGGATAGATAATGAGCAATGCCTTGGAACAGATGATTTGAAAGAAATATTAAAAGAAATATATTATTAGGAATTATTTGTATGACAACAGTCCAGAATAAAAGGTGCATTGCAAAGTGGACTGGGGGAAGTGTCAGGGGCTGAGGGAGAAAATTGGATCACAAGGAATAACTATTGTAAAAAAAGAAAATAGTGAACTGAGGGAAGGTAAAGAGAAAAATGTACAACAATGAATGAATGAATGAAAACTCAACTTTTCTGTACATTTTTGTTTAAATCACTGTTTTAAAAAAAGGAAGAAAAAAGTGGGCATAGAAATGCCATTTAATCCAGAATTCCTGTCACTAGGAGCTGTTGTTGTTTACTGTAGAGTCAGAACCAACCCAGAGCTTCCTTCTGGAAAGTGTTCAGAGACAGTTGAATAGGAGGAGATTGCCCATCCTTTCACAGAGCAGCTGGTGGCCGCAAACCATGTGTCTTTGAGATTACAGCACAGGTTCTTTCCACTAGGCCACCAGAGCTTCCTAAACATTGCATATACTTCACTATCAGTCATGTTGTTTTGTGTCATTGAGTTGGAACTAACTCATGGCTGGCTATCCAGAAGGATTTCAGAGGCTCCACATCACATGGGAGGAAATTGTCCATCTTTCTCCCAAGGGTAGATTCAGACCTCCCTCTGTGGGTTGGCAGCACATCTTTTTACCACTACACTACCAGATTAATCTACAACTGGACAGACAGGTAGGATGAAGAGATATGGATAGGTGAAAGGGAATATACTCATGTTCATATATTGGTTTATTAGATTATAGTTCTGCATGCATTTTAATGTAATACACACACACACACACACACACACACACACACACAAGCCAACAGGTAACAAAATCATCTAAGTTTCTTAATCATAACCAAACACTCTGAGGGCATGAGTTGCCAGTCCTATGGTGTCAGTACTATATTCAAAGGAACATTAAAGTTAACTAGCATATCAACAAAAACTATATCTTACTTTGTGGTAAGTAGTGACTGGAATCTAAAATGTTTGCAAGTGACCATCTTACTCATCCAGAACAAAGAAGAGAAAATAAAATCACAGACAATTGGAAAAAATTAGTCCAAAGGACTAATGGATCATACAAACTTCAATCTCATATTCGGGGGAGCCTCCAAGATTACCTACTTTAGTAAGCCTTTGAGCCTGGAACTGAACTCATCCCTATAGCTCAAATTTCAGTCACACAGAAGCATGCTTATATAGGAAAGAGTAACAGCAGGGAGATACTCCTTAGAACAGTCAGTTATAGAAGATGCAGATGGAAATGTTTGTCTAGGATATTTGTCAAAAGTAGAGATGAACTGAAATTGTGAATCACAGAGGAAAAGTAGAAAAATAAAGGAGGAAAAAAACATCTAAAATATACTGGAAAGGAGCACT